AAAGAAAATATTACGTGAGATGCAGCGTGTGCGGTGTGCGGTGTGTGCGCGCCTTACTGCATTCCTTGCAGAGAGTGAGACTCGCGAGTCGTGACATTGACCTGTTTTGAAGGCTGCGTCTCATTGTACATGTGGAGTAGACATGGAACCGTGCGACAACCGCATTGTTCAAATTAGCCAAATTATATTAAATTGTTGGTGAAAATGTGAGGTGCGTCTGGTTTGCGACATCTTGATTAGTCTATTGCGACGAGAACAACAGAATTATTGTCCTCGAAACTGCCTCGAGAGGAACTTGTACATAAATATGTAACACTGATATGTTTGTAAGGTGCAGCGACAAGTCGCGCTCACTTGGTTACATCACAGCGCGCAAGAAGTATACCTGCGCCAGCGCAGTCGCTGGTGTGAGCGATTATTGCGCTTATTGCGCTAATCATTATACTGGTTATTGTTAAACGCAACAATGATCTGATCTATTTATAGTGCAGTACTGAGGCGGCGCTTCCAACAAACTGCATACAATATTTATTTCTTAATTTAATCGCTTCACAAGACGGTCTCTGCAGCGAGCGATGGTCGTCTCGTCTGTAATTGCGAGAACGATGATGATGTTTTTATTAATAAACCTATTTGGCGTAACCTAAAGTTTGGTAAGCAGCGACGTCGGCCGGCAAAATTGCGCAACCCCCCACCTCCTCCGCACGCCGCTGACACCTGCATTAACTGTGTATATTATGAGACACCGCAATTATGTGGTGGTCGGCAATCGAATATTATACGGATTTAATGCAAATGTCTGCTACAAGTCTTACTTTGTTTTGGACAACTCTCGTTGTCGTTTGCGTTGTGAAAAGCCTACACAAACTGCCGCCGATGCTTTTCGATGTCGTAGGAAATAGAAATAGAACATACATACTTGGACTAAAAAATAGATAACGTTTTTAATAACTACACCTCTTGCGTAGAGTGTGTACAGAGTCAGTGTCAGTCCAGTGATCTGGTCCAACCGCAGATCGACAAGGTCGCCGGCCGCCAACAGTTAACGGTGATCGGTCATTAAGTGTAGAAATAAAAGCACTATAAGGTTGCGCGGCGAATCGTAAATCCTTCACATTTTAATTGACCTCCTGAACTAGGTCAGTGCGATATCTACTTAATATTGTGAAAAACTTAAACGTTTTTAAGTTGACCGAAATATGTACGTTTCAAGGAAATGTCAAATACAACTTGATAATTGATCCGGTTGCTGCGGCGTCGCTCCGTGACTACGTTTTAAATCTGTTTCAGATCACGAAATAACTATATTTATATTGTCCGGTATGTAATTATTTTTCAGTTCAGGATATTCCTCGGAAATTGCACAGAGGTCAGGTGTAAATGGAACAAATTATGTAGCAAAACAATATTACATAAAGTCATGACATATGTTATTATTAATCGAAGGCATCTTACATCAGATCTGGCACTAATAAAAGGTCTTTCAACTTTTACTTTTACGGTCTGCGCGCGTTGCATAAGTTGCAGGCAGTGCGATGCTGCGGGACCTCTTGACCTGCTCTTTACAGTTTCGGGCTGCTGCTGCGGCCGGGCTACGGGAGCATTGTGTGTGTGTGTGTGCGCTTGTTTGCGTGCGCGTATATACGCGGGAAAGCAGTGGTGACGCAAGCGCTAGCGAGCGCGGCCGTGTTGCGTCACACGCCGCGCGGATTTCCGCACACGATCAGAATTTTTTTATTCAAATATTTGACCAAAGAAATGTCTTTGTTTTTCAAATGTCGTAATAATATTTAAGGCTGAGTAGTAATTTAACGTAACGTATCAGTTCATGTGCAAATCTATCTCGTTTGTATCAGATTATATCACGTTTTGATGACATCTTCGAAGCAGAACTTGTGACCACATTGTGTTGTCACATTGCACGAGCAAAATTGACTCCACAAAAGTTGTTCTTAATAGCGGTGCCGGGCTCGGCGGGTGTGGCGGGTGCAGCAACACGGTGATCAGAGTGTCAGGGCGACGCGACGCCGATGTGACCAACGTCGCAACGGTGACGCTTCCGGCCTCGCGGATGTTGCGTAGTAGATGATATCACACGGCGCGCGCGCTTCACTGTCACGTCATTATGGTTACCGTATGCTGAGATGTACCGTTTCCGTGAGGCCGTATTCAAGATGTTTTCGACTTTAATATTTATTTTATGAAAAGTATACAAAAGTAATGTAATCATTTAATAGTAGCACTTTGTTGATATAGAAGATAATATTGAAAGTGATGTCGGGGAGTAATGTACTCGTAATATGTGCTACCTACTTCAATAGTTCATATTTACCAGTACGTTAAGATATGTTTAAATGATCTTTGAGGTAATGTTTAAAAGTAAGACAAGGTCGTTTGAGGTCTGACTTGGGTTTCCGCGTCAGAAGGGCGAGGGGCTAGGGGCGCGCGGGGGGGGGGGGGGGCGTGCGGCGGCCGGTGATGGAGAGGGGGTTTAGCACTAGTGCTCTGCGCAAACGCAGCCGCACGAGGAAAACATTTTGTAAACATAATATTGTGTATGTAAGACATCAAGTACGTAGTTAACAAGTGGTAATTACCTACTTTTATATTATATGTAAATGATGATGTTCTACCGATGCACATGAATGTCTTATTTAATGATTTTTCTTTCAATTCTTTCATATCAATGTATATCAAAGTGGAAAGTACAAAAGGATAGGACAGTTACCACTTTGTCTTGTAGTTCTAACTTACATTTAATGCTCCTAGCCGGCATTAAAGTTATGTGCAATTGAATTCTAAAAAAGTTTATGTAAATTAAACGAGTTCGTGACATTGTTGGAGTGTCAGTATGTGAGCTGGACCTCGGGCACTCTACTATGCTAAGGTGAAGAGCGCGCGGAAACGGAAATGCGCGTGTGTGCGTCGCGCCGGAAACTGCGCCCCCTCCCCCGTCACGCCCCGCCCCGCCCCGCCCCGCCGGGCCACGTGCTCCGCGCACTGCTGTCGTTGAAGTATATGTGACGTTAACATTTATTATCATGTTTTTATGCATTTATAAGTGTAAATAATATTTAATCCATCTTATGTAAATCAAAAAACTATACACGTGTTATATGGATACATTTCTATTTAAAATAACGTTCGGAAGAGAGTTGTTGCTGAGAAAATTAAATACACAAATGTTTTATCGTCAAATGAAATGAAAACATGCATTTGTTTTGTTTAAGTTAATATACAAGTTGTTTTATTAAATAAGTTAATTGGTGCGATCGCATACAAATTGTATTGAAATCTTATTTGATGGATTTAGTGATGAACAAGCACTTAAGGTGTGAGGTGGGATGTCGCGCTATCTGATTGTTATGATGCAAGTCGCAGCCCGCAGTAGGACACAAGATGCTCGTATCTTAGCAAAGTGATTACAGCGAGTGTAATTGGTCATTTGTGGCACAGATTGCGTGAAGCATCGAGGTGGAGGCGGAGATGTCGAGTCGACGCCGCGAGCTCCTGCCACGATGTTTGCATAACGCGATCGTTTTGTCTTCGAGGGAATTTCTTCATGGCATCACTTTCGTGGCGCGTTACCTCACCGTCACCCACATTGACCCTGCCACCAATTGCCTCGCCTAAGCGACCGTTTAGCTTTATTTGAATTTAAACACTGTGTCTTCAGTTCGCCATTTTTTGATGATATCGAGCGGGCAAAATGTCATCATTTGATGTTGTAATGTCTGTCGGAAGTTTATCGGGTTTTAGGATAATGTATGTTGGAAGCTACAAATATTTTTGCAGCGGAGATTTGTTGTGAGTGAACTGCCGAGTACAGAGTACTGCCTACATTATACAATGTTAATTGTTTGTGCACAGTGAATGCAATGGGCGGCGCTACTTGCCGGCGTCACCTCGCAACGCTTATTGACCTCCGAACAGGAAGTGTTGATATGTTATTATGTCTATATTATTTATTTATATTGCACAGTGTTTTTACTAAATCCAAGGTACAGAATGCAAGTCAAAGATTTTAACGTTATCTTAGTTAATAGTCAATGAATAATTGATTTTGCAAACAAAGTGTAAAATTTTATCTTAAGTGAATAAGTCGCAATTATTAACATATATTAACGTAAATAAGTAGTTCCATATCGGAGTTTTGTTTGTAATTTTCTTGAGTCAAAAGTTTCTTTTTTAAATTCAGTCTATCAAAAATGTGTGAGATTCATTGAACGCTTACACTGAACGTTACAGGTACGGCGGCGGCGGCGGCGGCGGCGGCGGTGGGGGTGGTGGGGGGGGGGGGGGGGCGCGGTGGCCGTAGCGCAACACTATCGCAAGCCGCTTTCCATTCTTCGGCTATTGATTAATCGCAAATCGAATGTCCCACAGCATTCGGCCTTGGCCCGCGCGGCTCCTTGCGGGTTGGACGCGGCCCGCGCGCGATTAAGCGCCAAGTAATTTTAAATAAAATTTTGATGTAATGGTGCGACGCGAGGGAAATCGCATCTTGCTTACGAGTAAATGTCGGTAAAAATACAAACATTTGCAAAAAAATGTTTACAGTTTGTTTATTTATTATTATTGTTTTTTCGGGCTATCGAGCTCTAGCAGGGTGGTGGGGTCGTGACCTTGGCCTTTGGCAAAGCGGAAAAATAGCGGAAAATTAACTTATAATGGAATTGACATAAGAGTAAATAAATGTAAACCGGCAAAACAAACATAGGGCGGACGCGAGGCGGGGGCGGCGCGGCGGCGCCCTGCGCCCCCTCGTGTATTCCTTATGAAACCGAAAGCGCAAGTGACCTTGGGCTCCATTTCCCCGGATGCACTTTCGCCGCGGATCAAGGCATACATTGTGAGTGGTGACATAACCGGTAGGAGCTACAAACGCCGTAACATCGATCGGCGTACGTGAGTCCGCGGCCGGCGCGGCGGGCTGCTGCGGAGGGCTGGTGCTGCACGATCGTAAGCAAACAAGTGGATAAGATAGTGAGGTACGTTACCGTTGCGGGCGATGCTGGCGTGAGTGTGGCTGTGTGGAGCGCGGGGCGCGGCACGTGCAGTCGGAACGGGCGCGCGACTCGGAGTGCCGCCACCAGCGGCGCACGCGCCGGACCAGCGCGCGCCCCCGCTCGTCGCGCCCGGCCCCGCGCCCCCTTCACCCACCTCACCTTCACCCGAGCTGGACCGAATCAAACCTAGCACAATTAATTGATGATTTACCCGATTTGATAAAGTTAACAGTTTGTTTTTGTGTCACACCTCTTGATCTCAATAATGTTAATTATAAAAAAATAACGTTGACATATACAAGAACTTGTAGTAATATGGTCGTTTTAAAAATACGTTATAAGTGTTTCCGATCTTAAAATAAATGACAAAACAAAAGTAACAAAAACAGTTGAAGTATTATATATTAATTATTTGTCTTAACTTCCGCATTTGTATGCCGTTCACTTTATCGCCGGATTTTCTTCCATTGTTAAAATGTAACGACATCACAAGTACTATTAATGTTACTGGTATGCGTTATGATTTAGCTTCGCTTAATGACCTGAAAGACGCAGGCGCAGCCGCGGGACGTCGCCGCGCCGGCGGACGCGGGCATCGCAACGTATCTGTTAGCAAAGGCTTATTGCGTCTATCCACACTTGTATCTTCTTGTATATGCTACATTATGGAGCGAAAATTAGGCGACAGTGTTGTTGTAATCCCTATTTGAAATGGTAAGAAAGGTTTAAAATAATTATTTTTTAACTATCCAAGATGAATTCTGTGACTTGCGACCGACCTAGAGCTGCAACACCATTTATTGCATGTCACATGCATTGTCTTCGTGACCTATATTTTCTAAAAGTAAATTAAAATAAAAATTGAGTCTTACAATATAATACGAGTACCATTACAGACTTAAATCATTATGTAAATGTACATCCTTACGTACGGTACTTTATCGTTCAAGATTGCTGACAACTTTAATAAAGTTATCTGTAAGTATCAGTTAAGCTAGAAACTTATTTTCTAAGAAAAAAATTATTTATCTGAAACACGATACATAGTGTCAGTGAACACCTCATTTTTACAGAACTGTAGTTTGTCCGGCGAAGACTTAAGAGTTCCGTAGACACGGCGCTACGAAATGTTGTTAGTTACAAAATATTGCGGCTCGTTGATATGTTGTTTCTGTCAAGTGTTGAATGCATCGCGCTGTTTGTTTACTCTAATTTATCTCGATAATATGTATATGTCAATGTGCATTATGTGTTATTGAGATATACATACGACTTGTTCATTAAATAACTTTATTTTTATGAATTTAAATTACTTTATTTTTCATTACGCTTAATTTATGTTATTACCCAACCAAAGTCGCTGCGACGACGACATGGCTTGTCTCTGAGTACGACACACACACACACACACACACACATACACACACACACACACACACACATATATATATATACATATGATACATCAAATTAATTTCCTACATGTTGATGTAGTGCGGCTCAGTGACAGCGCGCGCTATACAACTTAATGACATTACTTGATCACAATTCTCGACACTTTTGTAAATAATCGGCGTGTTGTTATTGAATTATGAATTTCACTATTTCGTGCCCTCGATACGACCTCGAGGCTTAACCCGCTCTGTGACAAATAATTATTATTTGCCGCGTGGAAAGGGACAAAGTCGTTAATCTTTGACTAGCTGTCGCCTGCGTCTCCATCCGCGTGGAATTAAAAAAACTTTATAAGTAGCCTATATGTTCTTCCAGACTATGTTCTATACATATGTGGCAAATTTCATCAATATCTGTTGGGCCGTTCCGGATATACCTTCAAACAAACATCCTTCTATTCATCTAAGCACTCGCATTTTTAATATTAGTAAGATGAAAATCTTTGTCTGTATTAATTAGCATTATGATAATTTACTTGCACAACACCTCCCCCCCTCCCCCTTTCAGCTTTAGAATAAATTAACAAAGCAAATGATGATGAGGCGTCGTGTTACGCGCTCCATTCTGGGGTTAAATCATTTTGCACTCGCGTCTGTTGCGTTTCGTAATTATCTTGTTATGCCAAAGCTTTTTGTGTGTACATATTATGTAGTCGTTTCTATTCCTACGAGCGAGTATACTAAAGCAACTTCGTATTTTTAAAGAAGTAACCACCGCGTTGTGCAGAGATAAGCACTAATTCAACATGTCGATGTGACATTTTAATTGTTAACCAAAGTTCAACTTTTTTACAGAATATACAGTTTGCCCGATCGGCGTTGAGACGAAAAAGTTCCCAGGATTAAGTTTTATCTATAGCTCTGTTGTAATACAATGAATTATCGGATTTAAATGTCCTTCATGCGTAGAGTGTTTGGGCTCTCAGTAAACTAGCGCGTACCATCTTACAAGTATAGCAACACTTAACATCAGGTGGATTCGTGATTAAGCGCTAGTTCATTATTTAATCAAAATAAAAAAAATAATAATTAAACCACATTATAATGTTTTAATTAAATGTAAGTTAATGTGACCTTGTTATGTAAAGTACACGTACTACTGTTTGCAAATAAATCGCTTTAATCTTTAACCATGACCTATTCTGACTTCCCTGCCTCCTCTGACTGACTGTCAGAATCACAGGAGTTGTATCATTACCGATTGTTGTTAGTGTAGTTGGTTGAGTGATGGGCACGTGGAGTCGACGTGAGATCACACGACAGACACACATCGACAGAGACACAGGCTGGGCGAGGCGCGGCGCTGTCTGCGCAGCCGCGGACAAATGTGAATGCAATTATAAATGTCTCAAGCTGGAAATTTTCCGTCGTTAAAAACAAGTGCATGAAATTACCGAGAAACCAAACGAGCTTGTGAAATGTGTAAATGTTGTGGAGCGCGGAAATCGGCTGTAATATATCTCTGTCCATGTATCTGCCGCACTCAAGTACTTTGGTTGTCATTAGTGCAAGCCCAAAGAACATTATTCTGGTTAAGTAACCATTTAACTAGTGTTAGATTCGGGGCGGACCGCCGGCCTGCTGGACTGCTGGGTTGCAGGTCGGGGGGTCGCGGGTCGCGGCGCGAGCGACGCTAATTGCAATCAGTGTACTTAATGTTTGGCGTTTCTCCGCCGCCTTGGCTTAGTTTCTCGCTCGTGTAAAAACAACAATTCAGATTTGTCACAGTCTAGAGTTATATGACGCTTGCGCAATGTGGACGTGGTCGTAGACCTTATAAACCGTCCACATCGTGCGCCTGCTCCCAGTGCTGCGCGCACGACTCTACTTACTGTCACTTATTACTTATCCACATTTATTTACTACTTACTTGACTTATCTTTCTAGGACCATGTATTGGGCCTTAATACGAGTAACGAATTTTAGAAGGACTAATAAAATCTAACTCTTTTTTATCGCGCCTCAATTTATGTACACCGCCAACTTACCCTAAAGAACAATATCTGATAAAATGGATTCACTTTTTCATGTATTTGTATTTGTAATATAATCATAGGAAATAGCACTAAATATAGAATGTAGAAACTATTCCTTAGCATTCACTCAGCGACCTATTTTATTTACGCTGACGCAGCAGCGAGGTGCAGACAGCGCGGCTGTGGGGCGCACTGGACTCAATCCCCCCCCCCCCCCCCCCCCCCCCCCCCCCCCCCCGCCCTGCCCCGCCACGCACTCTGCCCGCGATAAATCCTCAGAAGGTTCGGTAACGGCCTGTAACTAACAGAGATGTGCGCCTAATGTCTGCCATTTGCATAATTTTTCGTAATCGCCATAATCGTGTACTTAGTTTATGGAAAAAACCTTGCGGTAACAAGAGCGGACAAGTAAGATATTGTCATTGAGTGAAGTGGTGTTTCCACTTCAACTTTACTTCATTTGTCTATATGTTATGGAAGGCTACATCTCTGTGGGAGGCTCTAGGCTCTAGGGCCTACCTAGAATCCACGTACCCGATTCTAATATTTTCGCAAATTCTTTAATAATTATATAATGTTTTGACATCTATAAGAAGTATAGTTCAATATGCTATATAAATATAATAAAAGTGAGGGTCAACATGTCGACATGAAATACTCGGCGCTTTGTTGCCTGCAATAAGAAAGCCGTGACTCGCCACTTGCAGCGAGTTGCAGCGACGCAGGGATGCAATGCCGCAGGATCAAGGGGAAGGCAACTCTCAGATATATGGATAAATAAAAAAACTACTATTCAGTTAAATAATACTCCTGCTAATTGTTAATATTTTTAAGAATATTAAGAAATCAGTGAATAATATCAATTGTTGCTTATCTGTTACGACATCTACTGTCTCACGATTGTTCTCTTATATTATTTATACAAAGGTTAGTTCAGTGAGCAGAGGTTGAGGTCGATGACCCTGACACCTGACACCACAACAAACGCTTCGTAAACGTTTTAGTTACGTCATTGCGTCGTGCGGCTACGGAGGGAGCTCGCGGAGGACCACGTCTTCTACCCCTGTTGCCTAGCGACTAGCGCCTAGACTCCACAGTCTTGCGCCGGTGCCACTCCATCCCTTTTTTTTCAGAGAGGAATGCTTTATGCATACTCCGCGCCCCGGGGGGGGACGCGGTAGTTATGTGGGATTCTCCTCCACAGCGGAGGCATACCCACTAAACCTCTCTGTTCCTCCAATGCATCGGGACGGTACCACGGGCACGCTTTCGCTCTCGTCCGCGGCGCCACTACATCCCTTAAAAGTGTTAAGGTTTACCGGGTCCAGGTCATTAGCAACGTTGTCAGTGAGAGAATTCGACGCCCCTGTCCAACTCATGAAGTTATACTAAGTTAAAATTGTAAGATCTCATGGACCGCGTAGCCGGAAAAACCTGATATCACATTATTTGGGGACACCCCCACAGCGCAGGGCGAGGATGACGGGGCGCAGGAAACAGGTTTTAGAGGGTAGGAGGAGGAAGAGGGAAGGTGGTGAGTCCCATGGTTAGCGCGATCAACGTCGTTTCCTGCATCATATATTTCAAATGTGGTGGAATGTGTGCGCGCCGCGGGCATGTGTGTCACGGGGCTCTGCCGCTCG